AAGGCCTGGCAACTTAAGCGATTTGGGGGAATGGAACTGAGGACATCGTCTTGAAGGGTTGTTTTCTCTTTCAATTCTGGCCACAAATTGAAAGCAAAATGCCAACGATGAGGCTGATGATGATGACCAGGACAACAACAGCAGCAACGACTTTTGGCAACAATGAAACAATGAAAGGAGGGGCATAACGCCCCTCCGGAAGGAAGGAAGGAAGGAAGATCGAAAGACAGCAGAAACAGATTGAAATCAGTTTGAAAACAAGCGAAGCGGAAAAATGCATGACCCGTCGAGGCCAAAAACCGGATGAGCGGAGTGGACAAAGGGGAATTGCTGCAGCATCCAGCATCCAGCAGTTTGGCCATGGTTAAGTGCTGGAAATTATGTTATGCTCGTGGGCCATTGTTTTATGTCTCCATTCGAGGATTATTGGTCATGCATGAGAAGTCGTCTCTCACTCGCTCGCTGATTAACTCAATGAATAAACCATAAACCCGGCGACGGCCGGGGCACAAGCTGCTGGCCATTGTTTTTGGCCAAACAATTCAGTTGACTCGAGGGAGAGAGAGAGGACAATATTGGAGGTGAAAACTCTGGGAAAATTTAAGAAGTTTTTTGGATCGTTAAGGCAATTATTAAGAATATTTTTTCCTTATTATTATTATATATTTTTCTTAATATTAAAAACGTTTAGTTACTAAATTAAAAAAATTATTTTTGAAACTAAAAACCTCTCTAAAAAAAAGGTAATTCTTTCAGAATCAATGTGGCAATTGTGTGAAACAGTTTGGCAATCATATTTCCATCTGGAATTTTTTTGAAGTCTGTCCAAACTCACAATCGAAGAGATTTTCCACACACACACATACACACACACACACACACACACATATGTGTATATATAGAAGGAAAATCTCAACTAAGACCGAAAAACAAGAACAAAAAACTGGCTGGGAATACACAAAAGCACAAGCAACAACAATGCGAAAATAACTAAAGAAAAAGTATAATTTCCATTTCAAATTGAATTTTCATTTGCACAAAAGCACCACCAACGAGAGGGGGGTGGGGGGAGAGAGGAAAAGGAAGACAATATATATAGGTATATGTCTGTATATATATCCAGCATCAGCTTACCATACATAGATAAGGAGCAGAAGCTGGCTAAATATTGGGCAAAAGCGAAAATCAATGTCCTGACGCGGCCAGTTTAATGTTTTCGGGATTACAGGCGGGCAGCCTCCTACCCAAAATTTCCTATTTTCTCTTCAAACATACATACATACATACATATAGGCTACGACGTGCAGCAACTTAATTTAGCATTAACACACACATACACAGAGAGACACACAGACAGACAGGCACGGGCACAGACAGCCCGGGGAAAATGGCGTAGCTTTCATGTTCTCCCACCTTGTTGTAGTTGTTGTTATTGCTGCTACTGTTGGCCATTGCAGAGGAGCAAACAAGACCCCTCTCCACCTCTACCTCCCCCTTCCCCTTCCCCTCCACCTGCCCCTCCCTCTAGCTCCAGCCAGAAGATCCTATTTACCCCCTTCTCGCGCGCCTGCCATGTTCAGATAGCTACGTGCCACATTACGTAGCCGACTGGTGGGCCAAACAAAAATTAAATAAAAATACACCAAAGCGCAGGTAAGCTGCTCTAAAAGAATCAACTATTTTTATAGATTTATTTTTTTTTTTTTTTTTTGTTAAAGCGAAAAAGAAGGAGTCAGTGTCATAAGTTGCTGGAATTAAATGGAAGCTATAAAGTTGGATTTGAAATTATCAAAAAAAACTAAAAAGTAAGCATTTGAGATAAAAAAAATTGTAGTTAAAAAGGCCTAAAAAGTGGACTTGAAATTATTGAAAAATTAAATATAATAAAATGAGTATTTTAATTAAAGAGATTAAATTATAAGAAGTAAATAAAATTAAACCAGTATTTAAGATTAAGAATTTGGATTATAAAAAGCTTAAAAGTTTGACCTAAAATTACTTAAAAATTAAAGTAAAAAAAGGTAAGTAATTGAAACCAAAAGAAACAGATGCTAATGTGTTTACTAAACATTCAATACAAATTAACTAAAAACCTAACCACTTAAGCTCAAAATATATGTTTTTAAATGCTTGTGAAAATCTCTTTTGTTAGCCACTGTAGGGCACTGAACTCTGACTTCTAAATTCAGCTGCTAGCCTGCTTTATTTTCTACTTTTTTTTTTTTAATTTTTGTTTATTTCCAACACGAACCGACAGCTGCAGCCAAAAATCATTCCCTAAATTGTTTCTTCAATTTCGCATACCCCATTTGATTTTTATGGGGAGTAAGTAGACATGGACGTGGGCTGTGAAGTCTGCCGAGGTGGGGTATTACTTAAGCCATTTCGCTGAGCGCGAATTAATTTATTAGGCCCGGCAAGAGCACCCTCTAACTCCACTTTACCCTGTCCGGCAGCACTCTTTTGATTTCCCACACGTGCTGGAGCGGAGGGGGGGAGGGTGGAGTGGCTGGCTACCTAGCTCAGGTGCAAGCTGCAAGCTGCAGGTGCAACTGTCCCAACGCTCACGGCTGATTTATCGTCCATGAAATTTATGTTTAGTTTAATCGAATGGGGCAAACAAAAATTGTGCACCGAGAGAGAGAGAGTCTGAGGGGGAGAACGGCCTGCTTATCGCTGGCCAGTCGAGGAAAATCCCTAGTTTTTCCCACACCCCGCCCGCTTTTCCGCAACCGATGCAGCCCCAGGAACCCCAGGAAAAGTTTACTTAAGCACAGGAGAGGCGCTGCAAAATTAAGCAGCAGCAGGAACCACTCAAAGTGAGGGGATTTTTTCGGTTGGATTTTGCAGGGGCATTTTCCCAAGCTCCTCCTCTCACCACCCACTGCCACTTCTCCTCGAGCGTTTACTGCTGCAACTCGCAGACGCAACTATTGCAAAATTTCAACGTGAATTTATTGCATGAACATTTCTTTTTCCCCAGCCTTTTTGCATTTTTTTCGTCTTCCTCATCTTCGTGATATTTTCGTTTTTTCAACCCCCCATATATACATATATATATACATATATATATATATATATATATATTTCTCATGTTTTTTTATTATTTTTTTCTACGCTTTTTAGTTTTTTTTTTGGGGGGGGGGCTCTTCCTCTTCTAGTTTTCGTGCCTTTTCCGACGTGTTCTCAGACTGAATTTTCCTGCTGCCGCCGGCCATATATTTGTCTATATAATATAGTTTCCCACATAGAGTATATATACGTTTTATATGGTTTCTATATATTTTTAGTAAATATTTAACAGTTGCAGGTTCTTATGAGTCTGTCGGCGGAAGGTCACCCAACTAAAATTTCTCTGAAAAATAATCTTATGATTCTACAAACATCGAAAAATCTCTTGGTATATAAAACATACTATACGCATTACTCTTCTGGTACCTCAGGACCCTCCTCTGGTAGATCAGAATCCTCCTCTGGTAAATCAGTGTCATCACCCTCCGGTGTTGCTGCCGGCATAGCGGTTTCGCGATCCCAAATTAAGTTTTCTAGTTGCCCGATGGAAGCCCCAATTAACTGCAGATTCATCTCCATTTGCTGCATTCTATGAAGGATATTTTCAATGCGAGCTTGGATATCTGCAATATCCTTGGGCACAAGCTGTGTCTTTTTGGGGGCAATACACATTGTGCAAAAACCAAAATATATAATCAAAATTGATTGAAAAACGGAACAATTTTTGGAAAAAACTGATGAAAATATAGGATTTTCTAGAGAAACTGCTTTCGTAGTTAATGCCAAGCGAACGTTCACTGAATCTGAGATGGGTTTTCAAGCAAAGATATTGAATTCAAAGCCTGCTGTTGAACCAAAAAGTTCAAAATCAAGGCTAAATTGATTTGTAAGAAGCGATTTCATTTAGAAAAACAATTTTCTTAATTCCCAAAAACCTTTTCAATATTAGTTTGTCTCATGTATAGCTCGAAATATATTCTTTTAATATTTTCATGTAAATTTTACCTAAAAATTCAAGCATTAAAATTGCAAAAACCTTTTGAATTCTAAGCCTTTTGTTGCCTGCAAATTGTTCAATATTTAACTGACATTTGCCATCGTTTTTTTTTTTTTTTTTTTGTTTAATTTAAAATTTGATCAAATTTGAAATGGAATTCTCTTCCTTTTTTGAGCTAAAAACTTTGCTACATTTGCATTTATCGATTCTGATTTTCATTGACCAATGCAAATGAAGATGCCCAGGGAAATGGGCGATTTTCCTTTGGGCCCCTAAGTAGCCTCGATTAATGTGCAAAACTTTTTGGCCACTTGCATCCGTTTCTGGTAATTTCTGGCTCTGCAATTTATTTATTTATTCTGTTGAACATTATCTGAGCCAGAAGGTGGGTGGTGGGTGGTGGGTGGTGGCTTGCATTGCCTGTAATTAATGTGGAATTTACGGTGACAGATCTGTGGCATTGATAAGACAGTGGGGCAAATGCACAGGAAACTTGTAGGGAAGAACGTGACTAAAGGTACTACACTGAGCAAAAAATAGGGCACCTAATATTTTAGATTTTATAAATCACAAAAGTTCAATTTTAAGCTTAGTTTTTACAACAAAAATACATAGCTTTGTTTGTAAATATTCTCACACATTTTCTCTCTTTAATATACCCCTAGTTTTTGTTCAGTGTACTGTTGATGTTGATGTTGATGTTGTTGGCTCTACTTGTTGTTTGCCCAACTTGCAGTGCTGCAAGTTATGCAAGCTCGTGTCAGGTTGATGGGGAAATTTGCATATCGCATATCGTTGACACGGTTGACACTGACCCCAAAAGGAAGTCCCCGCCCCCCCAGCCTGAGCTACCTGTGTGCCACCTGACGAGGGGGAGGTGGGACTGAGAATGGGGCAAATTATTCAATTTTTCGACTAGATCAAAGCAGGCGCCAACAGCAGGGCTTGCAAATATTAATTTTCTGGGTAGGACACTCGTCGCAGGACTCACCTTGCATCCGGGTAAGTAGCAGGAGCAGCGTGCAGCAGAGGGCCTGCAGCAGCTCCATATTTCATCAGCTCTGAGTTATGCCAACGCGACTCCGTCTCTGACTCTGACTCCGACACCGACACCAAGTCCAAGTCCGACTCCGGATCCAGCGAAACTTGGCCCGTAACTTACTGCTGCCACTGTCAGGGGAAGAGGGGGGAATGCCACCGAGGAGCTCGCCTGCTTAACGTCCGTTTTTCCGCTGCTCCCAGGCTGCTTCCAGGCTTTTCCACTCCGTCCGATCGGGGCGAATACTATGGGAAACTTAAAAGGCAAACGGCATTCTGCGTAATTGCACAGCCAAGAGAACTGCAAAGAAACCAAGAGGGTAGAATGAGTGAGAGCTGCCAGGATTCTGAGGCGGCCTTAAATTAATTAGGACAATGCTCCAGGTGAGTCTGGACTTGAGTTATACCTAGTTAAAGTTCTTACAAATATAGGTAATTGGTTTGTAATTATTGGAAATTTAAGTAATATTTTTAAAAGGTTTTCAAAGATAAACAACTAAAAGAATATGAGATCTAAATAGTCAACAAATCAATCAAGATCACCTAGTATCCTCTAACTTCTTGTACAGGGTATGCGGTAGCATTTGTATTAGCCATAAAGGCTCCGAGGCCCTTGGAGGCATTACGTCAGAGATGGAATGCACTCGCTGCAAATGTTATTAACAAACACAATGCCATAAATACAGAGCGAATACACACACACACACACACACACACACATACATGACCAGGAGGGGGTGTGATGGTGTGTGGTGTTCCAACACAACAACAACAGGACAACACAATGGCCACGGCTGAGTGACCTTTCTGGTCGTCAAGTAATCGCATTCGCAACGGTAGCCCCCGACAACTTCGCATTTTTATGGCAACAAACGTCAGCCATAAACATTTTTATAACGCAGCCAGCAGGAAGTGGGGCGGAGGGGGGCAAAGAGGGGAAAAGAGGCGGAAGAAAAGTGGGTGGCGGCGATGGCAAGGAAAACGCATAAACCACAAGCAAAATGAATTGTGTTTTCACTTTTTGTAATTAGCCTGCACTAAAGTGCTCCAGCGAGTGCCAATGCCCGGGAGTGGAGTTGCCCAAGGAGTTCTTACCACCGGCTTTCCCTTCGAAACTAAATCATGATAAATGCACCTGCCAGGTGGAAAACTCGGCCAATTTAATCAGGGGAAAAAACTTTACAGCAGCTGCTAATCGAAGTTAAAAAAAAGGCATATATAAATCAATCGATGAGGGAAAATGTCTAAGAAAAGTATATAAAATTCACAGAATATTTCTTAATTAGTCTAGCAGTCAAGTGAACTTGAAAATCTCTCTATATTTTTGGGGAAAAAAACCCTGCCCAAGGGCAACGAGTTTTCCTCAGCAAATTGAGCCGCTTTTCCTGGGTCCACCTCAAAGTTATTTGTATTCAAAATATTCATTTCACTTCGTGCTGGGACCGTTGCGACAATTTGTAAACTAGACCTGAATAAAACATGAAAAGTGGTGAGTGGGGCAGAGGGGGACATGTGACCGACCGCTCTACGTTCGCTTTTCCGGCTGTCGGACAGGCGTAGAGTCCCTCCCCCCCCTCCCTCAGCTCTTGGACAAAACTGCACGGTTACATAAACAGGATAATAAGGCACTTAACATGCACTCGTCGCTGTTGTCCAACACACATAGCCTCGTGTACCCGCATTTTCCGGGTTGGGGGAGAGGGAGGGGTATAGAATGAGCTGGAAAAACCTCGAGCAGCAAATGGCGAATGTTGAATGTTGAATGCCGAATGCCAGGAATGCCAGGATGGCTCCGCTGTAGGCGTAACAATAAGGAGCCAGCCGGGCAACAATGGGGGCCAGCAGTCGCCGGCACTTATGTCAGAGCAAATCAAGCGTTACAGGGGGGGGGGTTCGGTTTCCCCGCCTTCCCGCTTTCCTTCCCCTGCCTTAATTTACGTTTTATGTCATGTCACGAGCGTAATTGAAAATTTCCCCCCGGCTCACATGTTTGCATTTGGGCTTCAAAGTTAATGCCAGATCGAAGCTAATGAAGCCATCAGTGAGGCAACTACTGGAATTCCAAGGAGATTTTCAATGGGAAAATTGAAACTACAAATATTAGAAAAATCTATTTTGAAATGAGAATAATACATAATTAAAGCAAAGGTTTCAAAAAAAAATTATTTGAAAATATTTAACCTTAAAAAATATAATACAAGTGCAAAGGCGATTCTTAAAAGGAATATTTAATATAAAACTATTAAAAAATACCTATAAAAAAGTGGGGAAAAAAATATAAAATATATATAAATATACTTACAAGTATACACCCTTAAAAAAAATATTTAAAATATTTATATAAAGTCTAAAACTTGTAAAAATAAATCCAAAAAATCTGTTTTAAATACCAACTAAGAAACAACTTGAAATTTAAATTATTTAAAAATATATAACCTTAGGAAAATATATTAAATTAACTTAAATACATTTTCTAGCAAAACTAACAACACTTTCTTTAAAGAAAACTCTTCTATTAAGATCTCTAAACATTACATTTCATTTTAAAGAAAATATTTTCTCAGCCCAGACATATCTTGCATAGATTTTCCCCCCTTTCTGTTATTATTTTATACAAATAAATTGAAAACTAAATTGCCCTAGTTCCTATTCAAATTATTTTCATAAACTTAAATATTTTACAAAGAAGAAAAATGCGAACAAAAAGTTAGAGAGAGCTCGGTGCATTCCATTTGATCTGCTGGCAATGATAAGTGAAAATTCATTTGCCACATTCGGTCAGTCCAGAAATTAAACTACACTTTTCTCAATTAACTTTCAAACTTGGAGGCATTGAAGGACCTCAGGGGCAGGACAGGAGCCAGGGCAGCAGCCAACAATAGAGCGGATTATGCAATTTGAATGCAGCCTTATCTGGCATTTCAGGCATTTGTCACACAGTTTACACATACATTTTATTTGAATTTTAATAAGTCGCCGCCAGAAGGGAATCATTTTTGGGGGGAAAAACTTAAACTGAATGCATACATTTCATAAATAATAAAGACCCTTGCATACTTTTTGGTATTAATTGGGGATTTGACAACCAGGCTAATGCGGTCCTTGAGCTTTATTAACAAGTCTGCATATTATCCATTATCCCAGCAGCCCGATGAAAGCCTTAAATTATTGAATTCATTTCATTTCGGGGCCAGTGACTATTGGGCTTAACTTGTAAATGGTAGTTAAGCCCCAAAGGATATTCCGATTAGCCGCAGGACGAAGGACGCCACACACACAAATCATTCGCAGGCCGTTGGATTCTTAATTTGCTTGAAATAAATTTTATTGGCATTGCAATGCAGCTGAGCAGCTGCAGGAGCAGGAGCAGGAGCCCCCGTCCTCGTCCTGGAGCCACAACTAAATGACATTTATTGTCAGTTTGGCAAAAGGCTGTAAAACGTTAACCGAAAATGTCTTTTTCATATTTTTCATGCACAATTTCAGCAGGGCAGGAGTATGCGTATGCATTGCATTTTTCACATATAAATTCGCTCGCTCGCTCGCTACTTTTGCGTATTTATTTATTGACCAGATCCCAGTTCGAGGTCCTGGACCAGGTCCCGTGATGCCATTCCATTCCAGTTTCATTTGCGGCCCGCGACGAAGAATATTGCAATGGCTGACAAATTTATTTCGTTTGCCACCGCCACCGCCACCGCCGACGCTGACGCCGAAGCCTCCGGCGGTTTTTCTTTTCCAGTCCGTTCAGCTTTTCACAGCCACCCCCCACCCTCCGGCCTTTGTTCTTTTCATTTTTGCAATGTGTCGAGCCCTGCCATGCATATTAAAATGTTCAAAAAACGCACACACAGATGCGGCGAACCGGCCATTTACTGTTGCATATTCATTATTGAAAAGTTTTTCTGCAACTCATAATAAAAATGATAACCAAATGTTTTAAAAATCTATATAGTACATGCATACAGATGTCCTGTGTGCAGGCATTTTCCCCCGGCTGTGCAAAACCATGAATGCCACACCAATTTCCTTGAGGGATCGAAAGCTACTGAGAGCTTTTACTCTCAATTTATGTGGAAATTAGTCGACCAGAAGACCTTTGATTGCCACAACGCCTCGAATTTTATGGGAGGAGGAAGAGGGAGGCTGTAAAAACCCTTTGCCTAGATCGAATATAAATTTATTTAAAAAATAAATAAATCACATTCAAACTGGATTTGAGAACAACTTCAATCAAACTTGCAAAACTTGCAAAGATCTATTAAAAATGTGTGTCGGGAAAAGCTTTCCTAGCCGGAATCTTTGGCTTACGACCCTCAGGAGTTGCCTTCTTGCGCTTCTTCCCCTTGGGCTTCTCGACCACCTCCACCTCGTTGGTTAAGTCAATCAAAGCCAGGCGTTCGTAGAAGAAGCTCTTCAGCATCAGGCCCGCCGTGTGGACCTCAGTGCCCTTCAGGTTGAACAGCAGGCAATTCTCAAAGACAAACTTGAAATCTTCGATGGCCTCGTCCGCCTGGTAGTAGTAGTTGAAGGCCAGCCGGTGCTTGATGGTGTTCAAGTCCATTGGCCGCTTGATCACCGTGTGATAGTGGGGCACCCCCAAGGTTATCGAGTTAACGGGGTGGTGGAAATAGAAAGCCCAGGGCTTTCTCCAAATGGCAGACAGCAGGGGCTTGAAGGACTCCAGGACATTGGTCTTGCGACCGGGACGTTTTGGGTGCGGATAAACCGGTGGCTGAACGATTCCATTTACCGGATGCATCAACTCCCTAACTTGAGGTCTTGGCATATCAGAAGGAGGCATTTTTGGTAATTGAATTGAACTATTAGTACAAGGAATTAATAAAGAATAAATTTAACAAAAAAAAGGACACTTTATTCTCACTTTTTTTAATTTTTAAGAATTCACAGCACACAACCTTTCAGCTCGGAGTTGGAAGTAAACTAATCTTTCTGGTTTCTCGAAACTTAAAAGGTGCTAAGGTGAGTTGACGTATCATATAGAAACTGTGCTCAAGGGTATCCTTGATTTATACAATTTTTTATATACCCTTAACTACATTCAAAAATTATTTATTATTGTTTAGGATTCAGTTAAAAATTTATTTTTTAAATAATTCAAAAACCCTTAAAATTTCCAATCAAGATATTACTGCCTTTTTTTCCGAAGCCCAAGTTAATCCCTTGGAGATTTTCGCTCCTAATTACTTTCTGCAGCCCTAGAAGACTTCACTTTCCGGCCAAGTTGGCGAAACTAATTTGCTGGCTTCCCCAACTTATTTTTTGGCCATTCAAAATCCC